ATTCACGGCGGCTGCTGGCCGCTCACACTGGCTGCCGGCAGTAGCCCATGGCAACCCACTGCAGCAGGGGACTGCAGCCTACGCCGTTGCCAGAGACCCACGGCAGCCCAGCTCCAGGTTGAGCTGTTGTTCAGCATCTTAGCTGTGGAGGGCAGTGTCACCGGCCCTCATATGTGGGATCCGAACCGGGGCCCTCTGGCATCTCAAGCCAGTTCTTAACCATCACGCCACTCGGCCGGCCCCATATAATTCTTAATAAATTAGATGTTTCTCATGAAATGCTGGGACATCATGAACCAAAAATACATGTGATTAGTCAGAACTTGAGATGTAAGAGTTTACATTGGATATCATCATGTCAGTGATGAACTTTGTAATCTAGCGAGGTCCACTAATGTCTAAAATCATAAAGACTACATAAAAATGATAATGGCCATCATTAAATCTGTCCAAGAAATAAGACCTTAATAAATTCCAGAGAGAGCGCCAACTTGAAAACGGGAGCTAAGAAGTCATAATCCTATTCTTACAGGGAAGTGCCATGCGAAAAAAAATTGGAAGGCACCAGCAATCCATGAAAATGACGGGCTAATTGAGGAAGCAAAGTGCAGTCTCCTTGCCACAGGAAACTACCGAGTGGAGAAGCAAGCCCCTGATCAGCGGACAAGACACAAGCAAAGGACATTCCGCACCTTAGGAACGGAGCATTTGAGAGGAGAGTGACTTTTTCCACAGCAACAAAGCCTCAGAAGGTAAGAATTTTATTGGCCAGATCTTGTATTGTTCTTTCAGCGCAGCAGAATCCTCACCCTGGATGATTAAGTGCCAGAGAAGCAAGCACGATATTCAGATATTGAAGTTAAATATAGAGAGAGAACAGGAAACAGAGTTACATGTGTACACAGCCAGAATGTTCAATTTCCAAATATGAAAAGATACGATTTAGAAACTAATTGCAACTGCAGCTCTAAGGATTTAATGCAATAACTCAGCATTGCCTAATAAACGAATCTGTCCATTATCCAGGGTGCACTGTGTGCTCCTGAAAGAGCTGGGTCTGTTAGGGGATCATGACAGGGTCTAAACCTTTCTCTTTAGTCAAGGCGCTGTGCTGGGATCAGGAGTACGAGACAATCTTTCTCAAACGGCCAAGACCCCTGAAAGAGGGAGGTGTGAACTTGCCCAGGCACAAAAGTGCTGATGAAATACAGCTCACATAGAAGGCGGGGCAGTACCAAGTCACTGGAGCTTGTGATGACTGTCATTATCCAGGACTCTGCTGGCCCCAATGCCTCCTGAACCACGACCTGGCCCTCAGTGCCCTAAACCATGTCTGAACATTCTCAGGCTCAGTCCAAAACAGACATGAAAACCTCTCATAAGAATCTGGGAATGACTGAAGGGCAATGAATAGGAAGTTAGAATGCTGGTTGCAAAGAATTCAAGTTGAAAACAGGAACTATATCTTACCTTTAATATCCTGCGTACCTAAAACAAAACCTGGTTGGACGATTATCAGGTGAATTAATGGGAGGCCTTAAAAGTAGACAGAAAAATTTACAGGGCTGTTAACCTATGAAATTAAGGAAGCAAACCAAGTAATTTAATTAACACTATGACTCATTTAGTTATTGATCAAAGAGAGAATTTATTCACAGAGCTTTTCAAATACAAACAAAATAGCACTTTTTTGTGTGTGTTTTACAAAATGAATATTGAAAGAAAGGTGGTACAGCACAGTTCATTAACGGACTAAAGAAAACAAAGATCTAATGACTGGAAAATGGACAGAAATATGCCCCTTCCTTTACTTCATAAGAATATCATAGCAGAAGCTCCTCAGAGAAATATAGCATATTTTTGAATAATATTGAAATACAAAGGCTTACTTCTAAATGTCTGCATAAACACTGAAACCATATGGAGGGCATACAGAGTTTATGCAGGATATACAAAATACTGATAGAGTGGCTTATTGGTCCATTTATTAGGTTTAATGTATGCTTTATAAAGTGATAATACTGTATTTTTAAGTGTATATTAAAAAGAAAACAGAGGAGTAATGCACCGCTAACCCTCTTGTACAGTCTCTGAGACAATGGACGTGTTTGTGCGTGGACAGGTGTGTGGATGGGTATGTCTCTACGTTCTTGTGTGCTTTCAGAAGTGCCATGACCTACAGGGAACGTCTGTGGTTTACCCTGCTTCCCAACGTGATACTGTTTCTACTAGCCCTTTTGATTGAATCTCTGAGTCTTTATCTTAAAAAAAAAAAAAATCAGAACGCTTGTTTGCATACGTGGATTTGTTTGGGGTGTGTATGCGTTCTACATTAACAATACTCTGTGGAATAGAAACACCTAGTACCCCTGCAATATTTTTAGCCTTTGGTCCATTTTTCTCGATCATTCCACACTCTCTGTTTCCTTTACAAGCCTTCCACCTTACAGAATGTTCATGATTCCATCGGGTTTCATTTCATTAGCACTGCATGGATTAGAACCACGATTCCTCCTTCCGAAAGGTGCTGGATGTGTCAGCCTCCAAGCCCCCTTCGCTCCGCGTCTCCTCTGGTGATGCCTGGGGGCTCCAGCTCAGTATGGGTACTGCTTCTGTTTCTTGCCAGAGAAACAAGCCAGCCATGTGCACAGCAGGATGGCGCCGCCGGCCCCTGCCCCTGTGCAGTAGTAGGCCCAGCCGATTTCACACTTACCTAGGGACACAAGACAGGGAGAGAAAGCAGGCACAGATGAGGATGATTTGGCAGGAGGTGCTATTTCTCCCAGTGTGTGCGTTCCTGGTGCTCAGAGCTGAGACTGAAAGCCCATTGTAAATGTGGTATACTCAATCAAACGGAATCAAAACCCATGCTCAAAGCTCTGTGGAGCCTGGGGAAAGCCAGAAAGGGGGTGTGCATTTCAGAAGGACCTCAAGGCCTATGCCTCCTGCCTCTAATGCCCACAGGCCTGTGAAGAAAAGGTACAATGGCAGTAATTGAATTGAAGAGATGAAGGTATTAATTCTAATTTAAATCACTTAAACTCATATGCATAATGAAGTGCCTAAGGAAAAATTCAAAATAGATCCAGTCCTTCTGAAAAGGGCCACTCTAAGGAGGAGACCCATTTGAAGGATAATGGGAAGGCACATATACTGCTATTTACATGTAACTGCTAAATGACTCACACAGATTGAACCGAAGAAACACTCCCAGATTCTCCTGGGGTCAACACTTACCTTTAAGTTAAAGCATCATATAAATGACAATATAATGATAAGGGTCTGAGTGGGTCCTCAAAGCTCAGAGTTGGATTAATATCAGTAGTAATAATAACACACCTAGAGTACTAAAAATATAATTAGTAAAAGAAGCAGGAGTAACTATATTAATTTCAGAAAAAGACTTCAAAGCCAGAAGTTATCAGAGATAACGAAGGGCATTAATAATGATAAAGAAGTCAATTCTCTACGAAGACATACTAATCCATAAGGGGTGTATGTGTGCCTAATACTAGAGCATCAAAGTATGTAAGACAAAAACTGACAGACTTCAAGGAGAAGTAGATGAATTTGTTATCATAGTTGGAGACTTCAATACCCCTCTATCAGAAATGGACAGATCTAGCAGGTAGAAAAAAATGTAAGGACATAGTTGAACTCAATACCATTAATCAATTGAATATAATTTCAATCTATAGACCTTATCCAACAATAGCAGAATACATTCTTCTCAAAGTAGATAAAACATTCACCAAGATTCTGGGCTACAAAACATATCTTAACACATTAAAAAAAAATAGAAATCATATAATGTCTGCTCTTAGACCACAATGGGATTACACTGGAAATCAATAACAGAAAGATGACTGGAAAATCCCCAAATTTGTGGAGATTAAACAATACCCTTTTAAATAACACATGTGCCGAGGAATAAATCTCAAGAGAAATTTTAGAATACTTTGAACTAAATGAAAGTAACATAACTTATCAAATTTTGTGGGATGCAGCAAAAACAGTGCTCAGGGGAAAATTTATAGCATTGAATGCATATATTAGAAAATAAGACAGATCTAATATTGATAATCTAAGTCTCCATTTTAGAAACCTACAAAAAAGAAAGGCAAATTAAACTCAAAAGAAGCAGAAAAATAAATAATAAGAATTAGAGTAGAAATCAATGGCATTTCATTCTATGAGGCCGGCACTACCAAACACTGAAACCAGACAAAGACATTACAAGAACAGAAAACTACAGGTAAATATTTCTCATGAACATAGATGCAAAAGTGCTCAACAAAATATTAGCAAATTTAATCCAACAATATATGAAAAGAATTAAACACATGACTGAGTAATAATCATCCCAGGAACAAAAAGCTTGTTCAACATCAACAGACTAAAAGAGAAAAACCACATGATCACATTAATAGACACAGAAAAGTATTTGACAAGTCCAATAGCCACTCACGATAAAAATTTTAGTCAACTAGAAATAGAGGGGAATTTTCTCAACTTGATAAAGAATACCTATAAAACTACTACAGCTAATATCATACTTCATGATGAGAAACTCAAAACTTTCCCAGTAACATCAGGTGCAAAGCAAGGATATCCCCTCTCACCACTCCTTTTCAACATCAACTGGAAGTCCTAGTTAATGCAATAAGGAAGGAAATTAGAGGTATACAGATTGGGAAAGAAGAAATAAAACTGTTCGTAGATGACACGATTGTCTGTGTAGAAAATATGAGTCCACAAAATACTCCTGACACTAATAAGCAATTATAGCAAGTTTGCAAGATACAAGGATAACACACAAAAGTCAATTACTTCCTATATACCAGCAATGAACAAGTGGATTAGAAATAAAAAAATAACACAAATAATTTACATTAGCACCTAAAAATGAAATAATTAGGTATAAATCTAAAAAAATATATGCAGGATCTATATGAGGAAAACTATAAAACTCTGATGAATAAAATCAAAGAGCTAAATAAATGGAGATATAGCCCATGTTCATGGATAGGAAAACTCAATATTGTCAAGATGTCAGTTCCTCCCAATTTGACCTATAAATTCAATGCAATCACAATCAAAATCCCAGCAAGTTATTATGTGGATATTGATAAACTGTTTCCAAAGTTTGTATAGCAAGAAAAAACACCCCAAAAAGCCAACACAATAATGAACAAAAATAGTTAGAGAATGGACACTACCTGACTTTAAGGCTTACCATAAATCTCTACTCATTGGTGAAAGAATAGACAAATAGATCAATGGAACAGAATAGAGAACCCAGAAATAGCCCTGTAAATACAGTCACCTGACCTTTGACAAAAGAGCAAAGGAAATATAATGGAGCAAACATAGTCTCTTTAACAAATAGTGCTGGAACAACTCGACATCCATGTCCAAAAACCAAAACCAAAACCAAAACAAAACAAAAATAGAAACTAGACACAGGCCTTACACTTTTCACAAAAATTAACTCAAAATGAATCATGGACCTAAATGTAACACATGAAACTATAGAACTGCTAGCAGATAACTTAAGTGAAAACCTGGAAGCCCTGGTGTATGCTGATGACTCTAGAAACAACCCCAAAGGCATAACCCATGAAGAAACTAATTGATAAGGTGGACTTCATTAAAATTAATAAACTGAAAGACAGTGTCAAGAGAATGAAAAGACAAGCCACAGACTGGGAGAAAATCTTTGCAAACGACACATCAGACAAAGGACTGTTATTCAAAATGGACACAGAACACTTAAAACTCAACAAACAAACAACCTCATTAAAATAATGGGTTAAATGTCTTAGTAAACCCCTCACCAAAAAAAGACACACAGATGGCAAATAAGCATATGAAACGATGCTCCCCATCATATATCATCAGGGAAATGCACTGAGATCCACTACACACCTATCAGGACGGCCCAGAACTGGAACACTGACACCACCAGGTGCTAGTGAGGATGTGGAACAGGAACTCTCATATTGATGGTGAGCACGCACATCATAGGCCCTCTGGAAAACAGTGGTGGTTTCTTACTAAACCTACTCTTACCATACAATCCAGCAATTGTGCTCTGTGGTATCTACACAAAGGAGCTGGAAACTTGTGTCCACACAAAACCTTGCAAGTGGGTTGTAATTGCAGCTGTATCCATAAACGCCAAAACTCTGAAGCAACTAAGCTGCCCTTCAGAGCCAGGACTCCAACCTGGGTTACAAGTTCTGAGAATAAGAAGCCGTTGACTCAGACTATTCTATCTGGGTTAATCAAATGGGTTTCTGTATTCATTAATCATTTTTCTTTTTCCAGCATCCAAGTTATTCTTTCTGTGTACGTGAGAAAGGGCTCTGTATCTCTCACTGAATATTGTCTTTTCTGTGCCAATTCTAATCAGTCTTTTAGTCTTATGATTTGATCAGAAAATACCACTGTTTTCCTCTCTTTTCTTTTGTTCCTGTTTACACATTACATTAGACACAAACTCATACACCAAGATACTTGGATTTCATAGTCATTGTACATATAAACCGTAGAGTGAAAACCATATCTGTCTTTACAAGTCTGGCATTTTTGCCTTGTTCATTAATCATTTCTCTATTGACAAATACAAGGACTGCTGGGTGTAGCATGTAATTTGGTTTCCTATCTCCACTGACGCTACTGGAAGCGTAGGCGGCATGTGCCCTATTTACGGATAAGAAGGTTAGGTGGGGCAAAGCTAAGTGAGTCATCGGCTTGTCACCCTAAGTCAGGAGTGGCGAAATGTGACCAAGGGCCTCCGCATCTCAAAAGTATTCTCAAGTATTACCCATGCACACAGACAATCGGCTATGGGGTTCAGTTCTTAACCTAGGTGTCATGCTTGATGTCTCCCTTTCCAGAGCCAATAATAATAGTGAGAGTTTTACAATAGCAATGTAGTGATTGATTTATGTATTGATTACCATTTGCTCTAAATTGTTAGAAGAGCTTTACACGAAGTAAATGCCAATGCATCTAATCCTCAGAAGAATACGATGTGCTAACGAACTCAGAAGGTTCATGAGTAGCATCCTTATTGTTCAATGAGAAAACCAAGGCCAAGTGAAGTTCAATGAACAACCTGACAAGGACTCACCATTAGTAAGTGGCAAGTCCTTCGCCCCTTTCTCCAAATTTCATCCTATGGCATGTCACCCCTCAAATGCCTGCAGCTCCCCAAGGCAGTCTTACCTGCCCTCGTGGCTTTCCTGCCTCCCCGCTTCTATTTACAGCATCACCACTAACAAAGCTGACAGCTGTCTTTTTAACGATAAATCATGTTAAATCACTCTCTTACTTAAAACTCTCTAATGAATTCTCAAAAATCCAATCTCCTTCCAGGGGCCCAGAAGGCTTTGAATGGGCTGGGATCTGCCAGCCCTCATGACTTCCTTCAGACCTCATGGCCTCCTTCTCTCTGGTCTTTCTCCTGGCCACACTGGCTGCCTTCTCTGAATCACACAGGCTTGTTGCTGGCTTGAGTGCTTCACTCATTATTCCTTCTACCCAGAAAGTTCTACTTCTGGATCATTAGAGAGCTGGCTCTCCCTCAAATGACACCTCTGCAAAGATACCTCACAACCCACACCTGCCCTGCTGAAATCACTCTATTCCTTCACCCCACTTGACTGCCTATGCTGCATTTACCATGGTTCGTAAATATCGTGTGTG